AGGTTAACTAGATTTGAATCGTACAGCAAAGAACGAAGCATAGAAAAGCGATAGATCACAAACTCACCAAGAAACGTATACTTGCCTTCGGCCGCTGCCGGTGCGTCCTGCCCAGCGTCAGGTCGTTCATGAGAAGGAGTCTTCTCGCTGTCTACGATGAAACATTCAAAGATACGAAAATAAACTGAGTGCACTAAAGGCAAATATGGTTTTGGAAGATCACTGGTTAAAATCTGACTCAAAAGGGATCGTACGAGTGGGAGAAGAACCATTGAGTGTAGTTCCTCAGTGGTGAAGAGACCAATCTGAAGGTCTTAACTGTGAAATAGTGGATTAAGGAGCCAATAATAATCAGCTGTTGACAGGCAACTTTATGCACCAACGTCAGACCTGGCTACGAAAAGGACAATCTGACTTAAGATCTGCAAGAAAAAAATATCAGGCCATTCTGTTTATTATTTCGCCGCAAGAGCGTCATGAAACGCTTTCATAGCGTTGTCTGCCCCTTCAAAGGACCATGACTTATGAGATAAATTAACTGCAGATCCAGATGACAGTGCATACAGTTTAGCTTGTGTGAAGAGAAAAGAACATAGTTACTCACTTTGTACGTCAAGATTGGAGAAATGTGATGCACTAAAGTTACTCAAATTTGTATATGATGCATGATTCGTGGGAACGGTGCATGATTAAGCAACTCGTAGCGCAACTCGAAAGTCGCGATACGCAAATCAAAAGGTAAGACGATAACTGGTATTACTGAAGCAGTTCATATTAGGCTTGTTTAGTGCAGTACCACTGTTCCTAAATCTCAGATGACTGAAAAATATATTTGACGGAGGCAGAGTAACGGTGATTTGCGTGATAATGCGACTACCATGTGGCAGCGGATAAATGCACACGATATCGTGTTGATTCGCGCTAAGAATATCTTATCGATGAAGAACACTGATGCCATGCATAATGACATAAGTTCATTTAATCGATCAAATTCTAAGTCAAAGTACTAGAAATGCAATTCCCATTCCCTAATTAACTGTTGGTATACACAGCTCGCAAATGAATATACGTACTTTAATAGAGCAAGTTTTGTAAAATCACCTACATTGCAACTTCTTCCTGAAGAATAGTGAAGAGCAGAGTAATGCACGTCGTCCGTAGTATAGATATGCTATAGTTTTCACTGATAATCGGAGTTATAATGGTACCCCGTAAATACTGGTCAACAAGCTTTACTTAACACAGCATGTGACTATCATTAAAACCACAGTAGCAAATCACTCACCATTAGACTTTTGCTTGCGGCTACCAGGGGCCATTCCCTTTTTGGTGCTCACTGACGTGTTTTGACTATTGACCTCTTTAGCGGTATCCAAATTGGACTCGCTGTACTTCAAAATCCGACTATCATCGACCCATTCGTCCCATTTGTTGTTCCATCCCATGTAATGCACGAAGTACCTGCCCAACTTTTCATCCGGATCTACGTCACGGATCTTCGCTTCGTAAATCATTGAACCGTGGTAGCAGAGTACTTTTTCGTTGCGTTCATACTTCATACTTTTTGGCGACATCTGCAAAATCTGTATGTGAGCAACACTAATAAATTTTTAAAACAAATCCAAACTGGCTAAAAAGCGCAACGTATTTATCTGACAGTATTAACTGATTTTAAGACTCTGTATGATCTGCTAAACCGTCAATCGTAGTTTAATTCTGCTCAGGTTAGCTCAGGCTATCCAACAACAGAGAAAAACTACAATCTTGCAGGTAGCCACCTGCAAGCCAAAGCTATTTTCCTCCCAGTTTACAGGCTAATCGTAAAGGTTTGAACTGGAAGTGCAAAAAAGTACGCTTATTAATTGATGATTCTACTGCAACAAATCCACCCTCTGTGATCCGACGTATAGGAAGGGGAAGTTTGCAACTGTTAGAATATCAGTTTTACTTACCTTTACATGATAAATACTTTTTCCGCCACCGGTTCAGTACGGTGTTAATTTCCGTTACTATGCCAGCAACCAAAATTACCTCATTTTTAAAGACTATGCTTCCAACAAAATGGCCACTACAGGCTGTAACCTCCCTGTTGTGGTCTAATGAGAGAATTATGGGGTTTTCATTGTCTTCTCATCGTCCTCTGAGGTTGACAAAGCTTAAACAGCAGACTAAGCCAGCTTTATTCCATTTTACCGATTGACATTAAGCAATGCTCAATGCTGCGACAAAAGCCATATTCCTCTGCGCAAGCAGATCTGTCTTTTTCCAGTTTTTTATTGTCCTCCTACGCGTCTGCGGTCAATGCGCGGTTCCTGAGAATGAAAACTGTGCATATATTTCTGGAATACATAATTAATCTTTTAGGCCAATTTAATCAAACCGAGTCAGGTGTCGGTTTCTGAGTTCATCTGAGAGTTTTCTCACACCGGTGGTCGTCAACACCGGCCCGTTGGTTATACGGCGGTACCACTGTACTTAGAGGATACCGCGCAAGCAGCACTGTTAGAAGCTGTGTAAACGAATTCAGTACACTTCGGGGCGGCAGATATGCTGAGACTGTACCTAAGAACGACGAATACGACTGCTTTAAGCATGTTGATCGTCGTGTCAGTTTTTATGGTTCAATCCTCACATGTTATACAGCTTGCATAATTCACTGATAACACTTCGATACACCGATTCACTTCAAAATCAACATCGCCATTGTTAGGCAACACAGTTCCGAGGTACTTGAAACGGTCCATCTCATGCATCCTAAAATCATCCAGTGGTATCCTCTGACTGACAGTCGTAGCGGGAGCACCATAATCTTCGTTTTCTTCGCTTTGATTTATAGCGCCACTCCTGCAGAGGTGTTGCATATGCCTTCATTCAGTGTCAGTAGGCCATTTGAAGAGCCGCTCAGGAGCACAATGTCGTCGACATACTCAAGGGTACTCTCAGAAGGTACCAAGTCGTTGATCAATGAAGAATAGAAAGAAGACGACACCTTGAAACTGTCAGGCTTCAGCCTCCAAGATTTAAGGATGCAATTTGGTGAACGAATCTTAATTGGCCGCATCTTGTGGGCACTGCGGTGGTCAGGTCGCAGTAGATTGCGCTGATGTGGGTATCTTCTTGTTCTTAAAGGTATATCGGGCGGTTTTTCTTTGGAACAGTGTCGGAAAGAATCCTGATTTGTCTGTAATGTCAAACAGGCAACCCTGAATATCACATTCGCCTATGACTCGACAATATGTCGAGGAAAAACGACTAAGCCGCCTTCTAACGCTGGTTCCAATTAGTTGGCAGCGCTTTAAAGCGTAATTACGGTACATCTGTCACAGGCTACGTATCCAAGATGCTAAGGGTGATCCACTGGCAGATAAACAAGACGCTTTAAACGATAGACTGCGCATTTCGAACAGCTAATCTGCAGATTCCGTCTTCCAATCATCAATTTACTACCAACACCAGAGGTTAAAGTAGACCCTCTAGAAATCTAAAATTTATGGCTATACCTCAAAATGAAGAAGGCCTGTGGCATTGATCAAATTCAATAGTATTAATTAAATGTACCGGAAGAGGAATGAGAAGAAATCTCCATACGCTCATTCATCAAATGTGACCTCAAAGTGCTTTCCGGAGAATGAAAGCGTGGAGCAAATGTTATCATATTTAATGAGCAACTGAGTAGTCCAACAACCGAGATATAACCTCACTGTCAATTTCTGGGAAACCATTCCATTGAATTACCTTGAAAAGATAAAGGCAGGAAGTTGGTCGAAGACTCTTCTCAAATCATGCTGTCTTCCGGACCGAGACATTCGTGGCATTTTCCCTCAACGAAGGATCAATGAGCAATGCCAACGATTCCAGTTCCCTTGGTTTGTAAGTTTCCTCGACTTTAAGGTTGCGTTTGCCTCAATACGTCGTCAGCGATGTTGAAAACCTTAAAATGCTAACGGATATATAAATACGCGCCCTTTCCAGTTTGGAAGAGATGTATGCACGAACCCTTCCTGCTGCCAAAGTCGAAGGATAGCTAACTGAATGGTTTCGTATTAAGTGTGGAGTTCTCCTGAGACACAGGCCTTCGCCATTGCTATTCAACATTGTTTTTGACTTTCTTCTCCGAAACACAGATGACCCTGGCAAAAAGAAATGTTTCATTCTAAAGGGATGGCACAGTTCAAGACATTCGTTTGGATACCTTACTGACATGGAGAAAATATGTGATGCTGTCCTTGTTAGTAGTACGGGGAGTAGGCCCTGTCACCTGATGACTTCCGTTTGCAACACAGCTGTCTTAATATCCTACAAGTCCAAAGATATGAAAAACTCATCAGATACGGCTCATTTCTAGTGGAACAGACAGCGGAAGCCACGAAAAAGCCGAGCCAATTTAATTATCTTTGATCAGTAATCTCCAACAATGGCACTATAAAACCAGAGTCAAATATGCGGATCGCATATGTTTTGAGTAATTTTCGAAACTGTACAATATTTGAGCTCAGAAAGAAGCCCTTTTTACAAAAATCTACCCGTATCTTGACTCGGTTAAGTCGGCATAGTAGTGCGTCCTAGAGACAGTTGAAACGAAGAAACAAGAATGACCGTTGAAACGTGTGCAGCTATGTTGTCTTCAAAGCAAATAGAGAGTTGAGTTAGAGGAAAACTTAAGGAAAGATTCAATTCACTTCCGGGTTCATTTGACCTAAGCAGGTGTAGAAATTAAGAAAAGAAGGTTGCCTTATTAAGCAAACTCGTTGAGACACCGTTTACTCTAGCCCGTGAGACCTCCGTTTGGGAGCCGAAACACAGCAAATGTCGATCAGCAGACTCGCATGCAATATGGAAAAACAAGATGGAGGAAGATCTGCTTACGGAGAGGAATGTTTTCTTCTACGAAGTAGCAACCGGTCCTATAGCAAAAGAACTGAAAAACTGCGAATTCAGAGGAGATCAGAGAACGTTCTGCTTACGCAAACGACTCCAGTTGACGATCTCAACAAGCACGCAAACAGCCGCAACAAACGTCCAAGTCTCACTTAATTTATTGTTACCATAAGATATAATGTACTAATATACCAGATATAGTCTAAAAACAGATGGCGAAATTAAGTCAGATTACGAATGCC